CCTATGTGTGGCAGTTATCACACAGGACAAAACTCTATGAAAAATTTGTGACTGTAAAAAAAAAAATCAGGAGAGACGGAGAGTATGAGATGAATTTTTTGGCACTCTGGGTTTCAACTTACAACTCTGAAGTCTTTATTCCTTTCAGAACACTTGTCTTAAAACATCTTATTCCCGGGAAGGAAAAAGCACTACTTCCCAAAAGGTCCCATCAGGGAACTTCTCCCCATGTGGGGATATCTTCCCATTTGGGGGCATGTTTCTATGTGGAACACCTGATAATCCTGGGGTCTTTCCCTGTGGGAGTAATGTATGCACCCTATTAGGAATGGATTCCCATTGGTTCTACCGAGACATGGCAAACTTTTGACTGATACGTGTACCTACCATTTCTCTGGGCATCATCTGCTCAGACGGAACTGGTGAGTTAGCATCCTGGCGCGACAAGACCAGATTGACCACACCCCCAAGGCGGACGCTGCGCAAGATGGACACAGCTTCACTCTGAGTTTTGCCTGTCATCTCAATGCCATTAACCTGATGTGAGATTTGAATGCAGAATCAGCAATGAGATTAAGGTTGGCTAAGAGAGGAGTTGTGACTGGGTAAGAAAATCAAGGCAGAAAACAAAGTAAGATTTAAAGACAATCAGAAATGAGAAAAAGAAAATATCAACAATGGTATGAAGTCAGGATTTCAGACTGACTTTTAAGCAATAAAATTCGGAATGCAGTCAACCAATAGAAGGGTTTAGTTCTGGATTAAGCTGAGTGCCATTTCATTTACTGCAAAGATGTCACTTCACAAATTGGTAAAACCAATTCAAACCAACATAACCATTCCTAGGCCACTGTCTGACCAGGCTACCCTAAACATCTCATACAGGCACTGATGAGATCCTTCATGGCAAACAGGTAGTACTTTTTAAAAAGAGGTTTCCTGTTCCGAAAATTGACAAATGTTGTAGCTGTGGTTAAGGCGTTAGTCATTCGTCGCAGAGCAGCGGGCACCAGCCGCTTCCTGACAGGGTATGTACCTGCGTACGAACATGCCTACATACACTGCAAAGTCAAGGGGAAGAGTGACCTCAAGTGGCCTCAGAAATACGCAAATCTGCTGAACCAGGAGCGAACAAATGTTGAAGCTCATAAGATCACACTGTAAACTGTTGTCTATATCAGAAAAAAAGTCTCAGACATTTTAAGTTACCCTGGTGGCATAAACTAGAGAGAGAAGGCCACTCACATATGCCACAAAATGATCAATTCACAAACTTTAAGAATGTGAGAGTAACATATCACTTTATGAATGCTTATTCTCATGCCAAGAGGTTATCAACCAGAAACATAAGAGGGAAGTGGCTGATATCTATGCACAGAGATGGGATTATTCACTGCTTTCATTTCATTGTTGCTGGTGGTGACATCCATAGTTCAAGTTTCAAGGATTTGCTCTCCTGCCAAGCAGCTTACAGGAAATGCTAACAGATTACATTGCTATTTCTGCTTCAGGGTTTGTGCTTTTTCCAAGTAATTTCAATGTGGTCCATTAATGATAACTGGCTGACTGAAGCCAGGTGAATTGAAACATGCCATGACTGCATTTCAATTCCAATTGTCTTATCATCTTCATAAGTTCCACTAAAAGCGGTAGTATGGAAATGAACGGCCAGACAGCTGCCCTGTCTGTGGTATAAAAGCTCTCCCCTTACTGCAAAGGTTAGATAAAGATGAGAAAAAGCATTTATGGTTAACATCACAGCATTATCGAAAATCTCGTGACTCTACGTTCATATTTCTACTTCCAATGATATTTTTGCTTTACTTTTGGCCTGCAGAAGACTTGTATTTCTTCTCAAACCCATGGTGCATTTCATACTTATTTTCTCTGCGACGAGCAACAAATACATGAATAAATAACTGACCCGTATTAATCAAACTCTGAAAATCAGTACATTACTTTCTTCTGCAGTCTACAACTTAAAATCCATTTCCAAGGAGATTGGTAAATATAAGAAACGTTTAAAATACATGGAATCTGTAAAGAGGTACAAGATATCAGGAAAGCCTAATCTTAGTAGATTACCTCCAGCAGTCTGTCTCCTGGCTTGCATCGTCCGTCAGCAATCGCTGCTCCTTTGGGCAGGATGTTCTTGATGTAGATTGGGTTCTTGCCCCCTACAGCGTTATCTCTGGTGGTGATACTAAAGCCCAGGCCTTGAGGACCTGCAAGGGATCAGTGATACCGGACACCAGTGATAAATGACAAGATAGAAAGCTTCACAATCAATTTATGACATACCGGAAAAACAAAAAAGAATCGTAAGGCCACAGTTAGAGTAATTTTGCTTAAGTTTTGCATATGAGTAAGCACACTGAGCTCTCTGCTTCGTTGTATCAGTATCTCTGGGTTAGGTATCTCAGAGGAAATGGACATTATAATGGTGAAATAGTCACATTTTTAAATTCCGAAACTTAAGCTCCACAGTTTCTGACCTTTCATGAGTTGAACGTAGAGCTTCCTTCCAATCCGTCGAGTGTTGGTCGGCGCGATGATGTTATGCACCTTCTGGGACGTTTCCTCCTTGCTGAGCGAGGTGGCAGGGGCACGGGCTGGTACTAATGGAGGCACTTTGGGCATGTCTACTATCTCATTCTCCTGGCCAGAGGGTGTGACTTCATTTGTGGGTGGGGCTTCTCGCTCCACAGTGAGAGTAACCGACTCTGTACGCATGGCATCACGAAGGAGCTCTTGGGCACTAGACGCACAGAATTATGAAGATGAGAAAAACCATTCAATACATAAATCAGGTCCCTATGACTGTTTCATGAATTCTCTTCCCATGAAATAAGCCTTTGCGAGTTAAACTTGAATAAAATGTGGTACACTGAGTTCTTTAAATTCACGTGAACATAACAATTAGAATTCACCATACTAAAGGCACTGTTGCTATACCGGTACCTCGTGATTCGGGGCAAGCTTTTGCTTAGTTACATAAGAGACGCCTTGCAACAATACACTTTTCTAAATGGAAAAGAAAGGCACCAAGGAACCAGTCCATTCCAGAGATGGTGGCTGCTAAGCCAAAGCTTGCCCTGAATCACCAGGTATAGCAACAGTGTCTTTAGTCTGGGGAATTCAAATTGTTATGTTTATGTGCAATGAGATAACTCAGTGTACCAGATTTTATTCAAATTGAACTCGCAAATGGCTTATACTATTGTCTCCAACTCACAGCAAGCTACATGTGTACTACATGCAGCTAACCCCAGAAACAGAATCCAAATAAGGCATTAACACTGCTGTCTAGAGAAAAATCAACATTAGATTAGCCTGCAACTTATCTCTCACAGCTTCTGCTAACAGGGATATCAAATACTTGTCAAAGTAAGATACTGTAATCTAAACCATGCTATCAAAAAACCTGTAGGGTAAAAGAAAATAATCTATTCTCAAGAGGCTGGCACTGCCGAAAGTTAATACCTCAAATCATTAATCAGCGAGGACAGTATCCCGATTACAGGTTGCATTCAGAAATCGGACCTGGCCTACAACTCAACTATTTCACTTTCATTTCCTGGACCATGAGTAGTTCAGAGCACAGTTATTCCAGCTGTACCTACTGAAAAATGATGAATGTCTTGGTGGGGCTAAGGAGTCACTGTTGTGTGACAAAATAATTAACAGGGCAGGAGAAGGGGGACAGAAAAGTTGAACAGCCCAGAGGATGAGGGGTGCATTTTGACATGTACAAGCAGAGAACAGCCCAGTTGGTGGACAGCAGACATCAATCATTCTTAGCATGTGGACTATACATGTACACACATGTAGTTACAAACAGCAGAGTGTCATAAGCAACTCAAAACCACAACACTTATAGAATTTTTGTTTACCAAATCCCTTAAATTTACTTTGCGTGATATCTTTCAAGAAAGCGGGTTCCCTAATTGTTCAGCGACAAGGAAACACCCTAATTTTTTTCCTAGGGCACTCTGTACACTGTTTACCTTGTGGTTTTTCAGTTTCTCAAAGGTTTACTTTATGTTGCCACACAGATGTCAGGGTCACATGACCACATAATGCAAAGGTTTCAACTCCTTGGTGTACTTCAGTTGAAAGAGCTTTACCAATCCGAATTTTTTGGAGGATGGCCTAAGCCATCAGTGCACCAATACCCTTTAATTCTACTAGACAGGTGGATTGAGTCCCCAACATCCATGACTTGCATGTACACTATACTTGTACTTTTGTAGTGTGTACAAAGAGGTTTCCTGATATGCCTATGAGGTGTGTTCAGTCCCCAATGGCCTGACCTGGAGTGACCTCTTACACCTTGGCACAGGTCAAGGTTCAGAGAGTCAATGTATATCATTTGGCAAACTAATTAGTTGACACATGCAATGTGGCTTTGTCGTTTTGCAGGCTTTGGCGGCATTGGAATGGCTAACGTGTAATTTACATTTCACTGAATTTGCAGCCCTCATAAAAATGTCCAGGAAAATAAGGGCGGAGGAATTGAGTTAACAATAATAATGTAAGTTATAAATCAAGACATGGGATATTTTCCTTCAAGAAAATAAGCAGACAAATAGGGAATTCTTTTACACTGTAATGTATGACAAATATCTCCTTGTAAATGTAACCCATACAATACCTGCACAATTCAAGTTGGTTTTGTTTCTTTTTCCCAATTTTTGTACTTTCAACAAGGATCAGAGATAGTATTTGTGACAACTACAAATTCTACCACAGATAATGCATTTGAGACTCTTTACAAGAATGATAACCAAACTTAACTGTAAAAGAACCTGCCCGCAAAGAACAAAAGTGAAAAAAAAGGGACTATTGCAAAGGTCACTAGGAAACAACGTTTTGTCTTCAAAAAGATTGCTCTGTTTTCCAATCACTGTATCTCCTCCTTCTGCAAACCAAAACATGAATCAGCCTTTCTAAATATAAATGTTAACAATTTATAAAAATGGAACCCTTCAGCCTTTACTTGTGGTTTGTAAACTGACAAAATAATGTCACAGTGATATGATCTCAGAACACAATTTATGGTTTGACTGACCTCCTCGACTTTGTTTTTGGAAGTCCCAATAGTTGACAAGACTGTTGGAAAATTTATGTCCTGATAACCCCACCTGGGCAATGACACTTTGCTCAACTAGAAAATTTGAAACCCCCCCCACCAAACTGTAAATTACGACTCCTAAATTTGGGTTCTTCACACTTCTGTAAACGGAAGTCAATGATAGCTATGGTTCTTAACATCTTGAGGACAAGTGAACATTTTCAAGAGTACCACCAAAGTGTCGTGTATGTCTTACTACTTTCATTTGCACTCCAAGACATGTGAGGGCTCAAATTGATTGCTCTATTTCAAGGCGAGTCAATTTAGGGGAGGAACAGGTTGATGGAGGTTCTAAGCATCTACACTACATGTACTTTTCTGGTGTCTGGGGTCTTCATAATGACTGTTTCAGGTTGAAAGATCTAGTTTCAACTCAGATACTACAACCAGGTATCTGAGTATCCATTCCATCAAAAATAATACAAATTTTTGATTGAAAGTTCCTTTCACACTCACAGTCTTGAGAATGTATCTATCCAAGGTGACCATGAATGCAATATGACCAGAGCTGGTTAACATAACTCAACAGAAACAAGGAAGGCTATTCCTGACAAAATCCCTGGGGAAAAAGTACCTGTAATATCCTTTCCCTGTCACAGGTTCTAACATTTACTCAAACCACTGCTGCCGAGTGGATTAAACTGGTTGCTGGTTCAACAACTCAGCCAGACAGCTAGCCAAGATTGAGTGAAATATAGCAAGGCCAGGACTTCTGTCCCTTTTAATTTCATGGTAATTGGTCGTGAGGGATCTCGATCAGCCTATTGTCTGTCATCACTGCTCTAAGTTCATTCTAGGGTTGGTCTGAGAAAGTCTGTAATGTTTAAATTACCCACTTCTCAGGTTTTAAATTGCAGAGGTATCATTTTCAATTTTTTCAAGTTTTATTACAATGATGCCACATGAAAGATCTCCCAAACATCATGCGCCAAATTCCAATTGTTTTCTTTCAGAATTTAAGGGAGCACTCAGACATGTAAATTCAAGCAGTATAAGGAGAAACCCAATTTTTTTCAGAAAAAATATATTAAAACAGTTAAGTGTTTATTAAAATTTCTGACAAATTTCAGGAAATATTCCTAATATAAGATTCGCTTTGCATGACACCAAAGCCTCACCTATCAAAGGTCATTTCTGAGATGTCCAGCTTGTTGATGGTTAGTATAAGGTCCCCTTCCTTCAGCCGACCATCTCTGGCCGCTCGGCCACCAGTCTCAATCCCATGGATGACCAACCCGTACGCACTGGACAAAGCAAAGATATCAGCATTATTTTCACTACAATATCAAGGAAAGGTGTTTATTTCTGACAGCTTCTTCTCCCAAAAACCACAGCACAACAGTCATGTATCCTTAGGATGAAAATTAGCTTAGAATAAAAAATGATTACAAAAACGTAGATCACAATGTCTTACACAAAGTGCTCAAAACAAAACAGACTTTCAAAGTTTATACACATACATATTTGAATATGAACTTGAGAACCGTGACTTTTTTCTGCAAGCTCCCACAAACTTCCAACACACAGTGCCCTCAAATGAAAAACAACGACAGCTCCACTCTCCCTGTTTGACCTTTGACTTCTCCAAGAGCTCACCTTCCATCATCATTCTCCACTCTTGCAATAATCTGGATGCCGAGGGGTGTGCCGTCATTCTTAATGACAATCTCCTCCCTTTCCACATTGGTAAAGCTATCATTGTCATCTTTGCTCTGTAGTCCAAAGAACAAAAAGAGTAGTTTTCCTGTGCTGACATTAAGCAAACAAATTTTCGTTTCGCCTAGTCCCAAAATTTGAACAAAACTCCCATTAAAAAACTGATGATAAAGTTTGAAAAAATTAACTGTCTTCCAAAATAATAAGTTCCTAATGATTGTCCTAATAATAAGTTAATAACTTTCACACATATTTAATGAAAAGACTAACTGCATTTTTATCAGAGCCGTCTTCTTTTTTCTTCTTTTGGTCATTTTTTGTTGGGGCAGGTTTCCTCCTCTATAGCCCCCCCCAAAAAAAATTACCAATAATGAAAATAAGACATGTAATCCTCAAGCATACTGTGCATTGAAACATTCATGTTTGAGGAAAGAAGGGAACATTGTGGGTAGAATATCCTAAAGAGAATTTAGAATCACTATAAAGTGCCATGTATCTCATATTCCACAAGAACGGCAGTTCATGAAACTACTTCCATGACAACGGCCAAAAAAGTACTTTTGGCGTCAGGTGCTACTTTTGAAAAGTTCAACTCCTAGCCCAACAACTTCTGGGAGGTAGAATTAGTTAAGTCAACCGATACACATTAACAACATAAACACCTGTGGTCACCTTCAAGCAGGCACTGAAAAAAAAACACTACCCTAGCTCTGCTGATTTTGAAATTTTTCCAAAAAAAAGTCTGGCAACCCTGATGTCTGTCCTGTCCATTGCTAGAACCACTTCCAATCCTTAATGGAATAAAAGCCTCAATGCTTCAGGGAAAAGGTCGCAGTTCAAGTTGCTCCTTGATTTCAAAAAAAAGTAATGGCCTTGGTGGTTATCCAGTCAATTTGCCCTTAATGAGGTTTACAGTGACTTCGTCCACCCACTAAATCTGAGGACAGGAAGGCGGCGCCTGACCATCAAGAACAAACTGATTGTCTGCAATTCCAAAATATGGACACATGGAGAATAACTTTATCAAGGATCATGCATGTAAATTACTGGGAATTCATGCACATTCTAGAGCAGGAAATTATGAGTAAATTTCCAAGAAGGTGTCCAAAATTTAAGGAAATGGTTTGGAAAAATTGGAAATTTTCAAGTGAATTTTGTTGCACTGTAAACATTTCAGAAATATTGTTGAAACATCTTATCAATCACTCAGCAAAGTTTGGTTTCACTGCACAATAATACAGCCAAGATGGAAAATAACCACTACAATCTTTAATTTGACACAGGTCACTAACTGACAAAAATTCCATTTTGAAGTAGCTTTTGGAACAAACCAAAACTATTTTATCGTAAACAGAGATGATAATTTGAGAGCCAAGAAAATAATTTGAGGTCAAAAAGAGTCCCCCAGACATTTCATGACTTTCAGGTCAATTGTTCCCAATTACCAAGTCCACTCTTCAAATTCTATGCCAACTCTTTCAAGAAAATCGTCCCCAATATGCCAAACAAGGTAGTGGGCACTAACAAGTCTGGGCCACACACTTGTACCGTATTTGATGAACTCTTGTCATCACCCCCCTCTGTAAATCTAATGGCTTGTCATCAACTCCCTCTGTAAATCTACAAGTAAGCCCTACAATATATCTAATACACTAATGCTTTGCGATGGTTTACAAACACTGCTGAATTTACTGCACCCTCTTCAGAGTGACAAGTTGAGAAATAAACAGCAGATAAAATAAAACTGGAAACTGGCATATCAGGTGACGTTTACAAGACTGAAAATCCTAAATATAGGTTTGAAAAGGACATAGTGCTGACACTTGCAAACCTGACATTCTAAAACAAGTGAAATTTCCTTTGAACAGACTCTGACAAAAAATGGATAAAGCATTTCTATTCCAGAGGGAGGAAGCAGGACTCCTCTGTTTCCTCACCTTGTTCCCCATACGCTGTTGTGCCTCAGCCCACTTGTACATCACATCGCTATCCAGCGTGTTGGAGATGGATTGCCGGGAAGAATTGCGACCAAACCGCTGGAAGGGACTGTTCAGCTCGTCGCGGCTGTTACGTCGTTTCTTGATCATCTCCAAGCTTGGACTCTGACGAGCAAATAAAAAACCAGTCCGGTTCAAACACAGCAGTACAATGAAAGCTTAAGAGAAGAGGGCTAACATGTACACAAAGAGCATACCTCAATATCGCAACACAAATCTAGGCAAGAATTTGGTGGCAGTGAAATGAAATTCAATCAGTCCTCGCCGATGTACAGCAATTTTTATAGACATAAGAACATTTTTTCCTCATTTTGTTATCAGTAATGGACTGTTGATAACCTTGGTGGTACCACATATCAGATTCAAGAACAATGGAATGCAATACATTGGAGAATTTCTACAGAGCAGTGCTCATAACTCATTATCTAACATGCATTACCTAATATGGTTTTCTCAGAAGCACTTAAACATGGATGACTTCTGAAACAATACTCTTCAGCGTTGTTTCTATCGTTCGTAACAAATTCATTGACAAGTACTTCTTTGGGTTGAAAAATGTTTATACGTTTTCTCACCCTTGTGTGTTTGGTTATGGTATTGCCGTTAGAGTCAATTGGCTGGTTGTCACTGCCGTTCCATTTCTGCGGGTCACCATTGACAACCACAGGCATTATGGGATCACTTCCACGACGAACATGAAGCTTTGGATCTGCAACGAAAAGGTAGAATTCTGTGAAATATCCGCTATTTTTACCCAATCTTTGAAGAAATGGAATTTAAGCCAAACATTAGTGATACCAAAGGTCGTGCTTTACTTTTTGTCACAAGTGCATTGTTAATCTCAAGTCCAACACATTAAGTTGAACATTTTTCCCCAGCATTCCTGATTCCTCATGGGGGGCAGGCTCTTCCAAGCTGATTACAGAACACAATAGAGTAATGTCACTGACAGACACTTCATGTCAGCACCACCCGGAGGGGTTTTCAGGCCCAGCTGGCCAGCCATGTTTGTCAACTGTTTTCCCCTGGGCGTGCACAGCATGTTTATGCCCAAGCCGTGTATGTGCTAAAACATAAACATGACTCACTTTTGTCATCTCCTTGGCAACCTGTCAAGAATTCTGAAAATTTATGGGTTCATATCTTTTCAGGTCTTTTGATGACACACATTGTAATGAAGTTTTGGAGGTTACAGTGTACATGTATGTTGTAGGGTTAGGGTTACAGAGCCAGGGTTACAGAGCCCGTCCCAACTGGTACAGAGGGACCCCTACTGCTAACTCCACCCTACCAGGGAAGTCTGAGCAGGTAACTATGGCAACAGCCTTGAAATGAGGCTACTCAATCAAAGCCTTGAAACAAGGCTATTTATCTGGTGCAAGTAATACAAGTAAGTATCATGTACATGTACTTCACATACAACCACACATGTTGCACATACATGTACATACATGTACGGGTATTGAAGCTACAAAAAGAACTGTATGGGTCCTTTGCATAGCAGCACATCCACAATGTCAAAACAAGGTAAAACGGCAGGTGCTTTTGCAATCAATAATTTCAGATGCAATGAACAGGGCCATTATTTTGTTCATTTGTTCATTTCTAAATCATTCTAGATCTCTGTACTTTCCCAAGTCAATGAATTTGCAGCGGGTCAACAAAACTACACTGAGGTCACTATTAATTATCGAAAGTTTGGCTTGCATATTTACAAACAGTGAAAAAAACTCTCTCTAATCACTGTCCAAGTTCCAGCTTTGTTTTTGCTAATAAATCCCAAACTGGTACATGGTATTAATTGTTTTTGAAGGGCTATAAAATTGGGCTTTAGCAAGAGGTAAACCAATTATTTTCCACTTAGTGTCCATAAACATACACTAGCACACAGCAGGTGTTGGCATTAATGTTCACACCAACAGCAGAATGGTTTCTTCCCTGGCCAGACCTGGTCATACAAGTTATCCCTCCTCTCCCGCTCACAACAGACCAACCACCTGTCTTGCATCCTACTGCCTCAGTGCACTCCATAATTCAATCTTTCATCAATTAGCATCAGCACTGCCCAGTCTGGTACCCATTAAAGTCCCATCAACCCTACATAATGAATTAACTAGATTGTAGATCCTGTAATTGGAAAGTGGTGACATGGGTCCAGTTTCTGGTCAGAGTTCTACCAGCACATGTACAGTACATGTATTTGCTCTAATCACAGGGAAAGCCATGTTGGATCAAGTTCCCTGAACCTTCCAAACTTTAAAAAGAGAAACTCTGCTCAATTTTGATGAAACCCAAAACATTAAATAGAAAACTGCAAGGTGGACGTTGCAAAATCACTTGACTTCATTCCACAAGTTCCAGCGGCCTTGTGTTCTAGCCAGTGCTAACTGCTTGGCATTTCTCAAGGGGGGTGCTCAATTGCCTTGGTCACCCAATGCCACACACTGCCAGCCCACCTCAAGGCCACAGTCTGGGTATACATAAGGAGTGAGTGGATTGCTCAGGTGAAATTGGAACAGATTTAGGGGATCATGTAGATGATTGGGTACCCCTAACAGCCTGTCTGCTCTGGTCTGTGTGGCAAATTGACATGAAATGGAAGAGAAGGTTCAGAAGTGAAGGCCGAAATATTCAAGTTATGCTTCTATAACTGAAACCAAAATTGGAATGAAGGAGGGCAGGGAAATATTCGTACTGGTAGGAGACATCTACCTTACGATGTTCCTGAAAATTTGGCGCCACGCCCTTATACTAAGAAACAGGTCATACCCATTCATTTTGTAGAGCAAAAGTATGATTGCTTTGGTGGCCAATACATACATGTAACTATAAGTGATGAGTTTACCATGTGCACATGGCAAATGTTAAGTCCGGTTCCACTGAGCTTCTCACCGTGCCAAACGATTCACTAAAATGGCGCTGTAGCCGAGCACTTACCAAGTACTAGCCAAATTATTAAAATATGAATTGGTACTTGGGCTGATTCCCATCTTAACACATTTAAGTTACTATTATTAAAGTGAATCGTTGTCCGATGCACTGTTTGTGCAATCCTGCAACACAGCAGGGTCCTTTGCAGGGGGGACCTCGGATCCCTCAAACAAAAAATGCATCGCCTTCACCAACCTGCAGACACCTCATCTCCGGTCACCACCACGTCCACATCGCTAGGATCATCCAAGTCACCGTAGTGATTGGCCAGCATCTTGTTGTTGTTGCTGTTGTTGGCAGGTCCGTTGACGTTGTCCAAGCTGGTGAAGGTCAGCGGCGGGCTAGCAGTGCCCACTGAGCTAGCGCAGGTGCTGGTGCCGTCTGTGATCAGGTGACCCGATGGGCGAGGACCATCTTGCTCATCAAAAGTTGCTATGAGCTGAAAAAAAGAAAACACTCAATAAACAGTTAATGATAAACAGCACCACGTGGAAGTGTACTCTTTTCTTTCTACTACGACTTTTGCTTTACACATGAATACAAAATTTACAAATATTTTGAAGTGAAAAGACATAAGCCCTGTTGTTTCAGTAACATTGACAACATGCATATTTGTATGTGTGTTAAAGTGCACAACCTCATTACGTATTTCCGTAGTTATTCGCGGTGCCCGCTGCTACATCTGACTCGAACCAGCCAGCCGACACCGGCAAGCTCAGTGGTCAGCAGTTAAGACGTCTGCACTAGTAAGCAGAAAGTTGTGGGTTCGAGTCCCACTCAAGTACGCTTGTGGTTTTTTCACAAGCCTTCGGGGGCAAACACAGAGTTTACAGTGTGATAATACACGTCGGGCAGGGCAAAAATCTAAAATTAATCTACATTACAGTACATGTACATGTATGCGGATCCTTGGAGCGGACATTTGAAGGAGAGGAGCTGACCTCGGACCACACAGTTCTGGGGGTAGCACCAAGAAGGTGGGGCCAATTTTGGGGGGGAGGAGCAAAGGATGTGGTCAGTAGAAGCTTAGCAAGCCAACTGTAAACATTCAGCAGATCAATCCTGGCCACACACATGTAGATACATATACCATAGTCCTCTCCATCCACCTGCAGGCAATTACTTATCTCTATTCCCTTATTTACTTGGGCTCATCATGGCAAGCAATGGCCTGTTATCTGCAGCATGTACACTGACACATTCCTCCTATAAACACTACCGGTGTTGTGTTAATCTCTTCCTGTTTACACAGAGGATCCCCAATCAAACAAACAGAGACTTTCCTCTGTCCTTTTCCAATCAGTCTAGCTGTGAATCTGAAAAGGGGATAGCACCAGGGATCCAGAAAAACCTGTTGGAACATGCCTAAAGAGAAGTCAGGAAGCTGGAATCCCCATTCTAAAAGGTAGAACAGAAATAGTCTGGCTCCATATATTCAGGTTACCAGCTAAGGCATTACAAATAATGCTAAAGGACTGGCTTCTGCAGAGTTTTCTGCACATGTAGGTGAACACAGGTGGTGTGTAGTTAACTGTACACAACCCCACTATACATGTATGTACATGTACTTAGGCCAACTGTAAGTTTGACCCATCAATCCAGCCCAGGAGCCCCAACAAAAAAAAACTACTTGTACATGTGTATAGACCTTACAAACATTTCAAGTAGAGTCTTTTTAGCATAACCAGTGATGACAGCTCCTAACACTTCAGGCAAAATTCAACACAGTACACTGTGGTGACCTGTTAAAATTCTTCCATTACAGAAAATTCCTGACCCTGATAGGTGTACATGTGTGAACATATTCTTCCAAGTACCATCCCACCAGAGAGAAAGCAAGCAGAAGACAGTGTTCTGATGGGGACCCCTTACATCAATCACCCCCAAACCAGCCATCCTGACTGGAGGACACAAAGCTAGTCCTGATGGCTGTGTAATATGCCACATCAGGACTTTTACTGGCTTGTCCCAGACACCTTCCAAATGTCTCCCACATGTAGCCCTCATAGAGTGACTTTGAGTTATGGTTAGTTTAATGACAAGTTGCCTCCTGGAAACAACTACAGGCAGGCTTGACTGTTTCAATCTGTTCCGTCCATAAGAGACACAGAGCTGCTCCTTGAGACAAGACTAGTCAGTGGGGTATTGCAGGCCAACATGAAGAGCTGTTTCCAGTGCCAATTCAGGTGCTTTTCAGAATCCAATCCTCCCCAATTCCCTTGCAGTCAGTTTCAGCAGGTTTACACTGAGTTAAACACAACTTAACGAGTTCATATAATGAAAAATGAAGTTTAGATCTATACCTAATACACTCATTCTTTAATGTGTCACAATTGTGGAAAACTGCACATTTTCTCGAATGGATTTATCGGACTTGGAAATAAACCCTTCAAATATAAAATAATGTAGGCTGGACAGATCACATTTTACGGAAGAATAAAAATTGCACAAGACTGGTCCTTGAGACAAGACTCATTTGGATATTTCTTGCACAAAATAGATTTCCTGGTACAGTAGTTGTAACTCAGATTGAGCATGACACAGTCATTCAAAAAGGCACAAAAGTTGCATAATTAAGGTAGCCATCAAATTTGCCAAGTATGGCACAGCACAGCAGTCTTTAGAGACAAATGTTCGAGTCAGGCCATACTCTTACAACAGCACTTGTCATTTTGACAACTGATGCATGTAAACCAAGCTCTGAAAACACTGACAAGAAAACCACTAGTACTGGACACGTAGACTGTTAGTGCTTCTGGCATTTGGACCAAATGGCACCAAAGATGCCACTAGTTAGAATTCATCAACTCTTGGCAACCCTGTTAAAGATCTTTGACTTGTTCACGTCCCACAGACTCCTCTTAGAAATCTGGTCCATGCTCCATGCCAAACAGGTAGTCGAAGTCTGGAGGAAATAAAAAAACTATACAAACAAATTCCGACCCATTCAAGTAGAAATTCCACAGTGGAAGAGCTGAACTTGACAACTCTTGACCTCTGTATTAATGACCCACTACAATCAGTTTCTTACAAGTGGCTTGGTAGCCACTCAATTACCATACCTGGCTGAGCGTGGCACCCTGTCTAGTCTGGAGTCTCCTAACTTCAGCAGTTGATGGAGAGTTCTTGGAACTTACACAGATGAACAGTTTTAGAGCATCTACAGCCACAGAAGTACGATTTTAACCAAGGATGTGACACATGTCCATGCTCACAAGACAGACAACCTACACACCCAGGCAAGCTGGACCTATTCCATCCAAGTTGTGCCAGCTACCCATTCTCTACATTCCTACTTGGTACAAGGACCCTTTACAAATATGCAAGACCTTTATTAAAGGTACAAACATTGCTCATATGGCCTAAATTCCTTTGAGTTTCTTGAAATCACTGCTGTGTACATGCCCTCAACAAATGTTGATTCTACAGTGCCTGTAAGTACCTGTCCCTTGTAGTATTCTAATCTACAGTCTAGCTCACTATCCTAATGACTGGACCATTTGGGTTTCAGCTTTCAACCTTTTCAAGTTGACTTACAGCTAAATAGAACACTGTTTTAGGAGAAACTAGCACATGGTACATCGACCTTTAACATGACAAAGTGGGCCAGACAGAGGCCCAATGACAGCCAAATCCAAGGGATCACTGTGATATTGGACCAGGGCTGTGTCTACTTAGGCAACCTGTCAGCACCCATACAGGGTGGCTAACAAGCTGGTAAAGGGACCCTCCAAAGTCATCAACAATTTCATGGTGGTACAAGGAAAACAACGTTGGACTATGTGTACTGGTAGGGATCACAAGGAAGGCTTCTAAGAAATATGTGAGGACTTTGAAGTGTCCTCACAAAGTTACATACCCACAATAACTATCACACAGGTCCTACATGTACATGTACAATGTATGTAGGGGCCTACCCAAGTGTTTTTCGAGCAACAGGAGACATCAAATGGAAATGTTGTTTTTACTGATCAAAGGACTTTAATTTGATGCAACACAATTGATTGCTTGTTTTAAGAGAAAAAAAAAGTTCAATCAGGACCACTAGTTAACAAGCAGTTGGTTCGTGACGTACCTAGTGAATGTGCAGTGAAGTTGAAGTGCAAATGACCCTAGTCAATCAATCGTTGTCAGGTCATTAGGCAGAAGGGCCAAGAAAAGGTGGCCGCAGGTAGGCAAAAAAGCAAAAATTAAAGTGGAAATGGTCATTTACTAGTGACATACTGTTTTTCCAGCATTCTGCTATATAACTGGTCCTCTCTGCACTGTATTAAAATGATTTATGGCAACCAACGATGCAACCAACCTCAATCGGTTGGTTGCAAATAGTTGACTAGACTAGTCCAACCATCGTCCACTGACATCTGTTCAATTAGAGTTAGTCAAACTCTGGTTAACTACATGGTCCTTGATCCAACTTGCCTCAAGATTCAATCTGCAACAATGTCATATCAAAGTGGTCTCACATGATTCCCGTAAAAGTTACCACAAACTGTCTCCAGCCATGGCTGTGCTAAGCCACTCACAGCCACTCCTACCATTTAAGCCAAGGCCTATAATTGATTGATTCTAGCTACATGTAAGTTATAAAGTGCAAAAAATTTTTACCCCATTATGAGATGGTTTCTTGTATCTCTCAGACTTTCTTCTGAGTGTTACAAATGTGCACCCCCCCCCAACCAACAGTCAAGAGGAGGTCCAACCTAAACCCCAGAGGGATCCAAATAAACAAATGCACTCCTTGTTACTTGTGGGTGCCCTTCAAGAATAGCAAATGACTGCCTTTCTGGCCAAATTCCATTACCCTCTTCAGTTTAATTTGATCTGCTCAATGATTGGATTGCCCAACCTTCATTGTTGTTACAGTCACTGGAAACAGAGGCCGGTACACTCTTGATCTGTATACAAATTCCTGCAACAAGTACATTGGAAATAGCCTTAAATGCCTGCAGGTACATGCACTTACCTACATGAACTGCACCAACAAATTAGTGGTTTTTATAGTCATCCTAGAAATTATGACATTGACTGCAACACGCATCATCTGCCTGCCTAGTAAGCACAAGGTAGACACAGAGTTGACAGAGCAAGGATTTGTTCTGATTATTGAAGATCTACCAAGATTTAGGGTAATGTGCTCAGGGAGATGAAGGGATGGAATTTCCAACAGAAAAGGCAATTAGCAGATGGCTAGAGGGTATTTCTCTTCCTACCAGATGAGCAATCAAGTGACGACAAATTGGAAACAGCCTCCACTCCAAGTGCTCAGAAAGACTGAAACAGATGTCAAATATTTTAAATTTTTCTCTCTCTTGGCTTTCTAGCACTTGTCTTTTTTATGATTTTTCTTTGTTGTTGTTAAAAGGTGACATAGTGTGGACTATACCCTGTGCCATACTGCTACTGTCAATGACACAGGACTAAGTTTTTCAAAAATATAGAGATGATGGAACGGTGACTGCTAGAGGCTAACAGGTTAAAGCAGTCAGACTCCACCAGACTGACGCACCCTTTTAGTTTAATTCCAGTCAGATTCCAACTTAGCCCATATTTTGCCAAAGTTCTGAGGTTAAACCGGACTCCCATATCCCTAGGCAATGTCTGGTAGAGTACACCTGCAGGCTGTAGGAACCAGGAGGGAGTTCAGAGTTATTACTACGAGGTCAAACTCTTTGAAAATTGGAAAAGTATTGTTGAGGAATGAAGTGGAAGGCCCTGTTGGTGATGTATCTATCTGGTGAAACAAATTGCTGCTTGTCAAAGGGTTCAGGCCTTGACAGTCTGGTGATAAACTGCAAAGCGCAGCTTCAAGTTGACTCTGACAATAAAAGTTTCTTTATTTGGAGACCTGAGCTTTTGACTGTCTCTTTTCAAAGAGTCTAAACAGAGGTCTCAGACTGGCCTGTGTGTAATTGTCCACATGCCAAACTAAAAAGTAGATCAGGTCAGAGACAGTGAACAAAGGAAAAACAATTTGAAGGATTCTTCAAATTTTTTTATTTATATAAAATATTTTCAGATTTTCAAGTTGAGGTCTTTAAGATTGACATTTTGGAGTGGGATGCTATGATGTGGACATATGGTGGGGTCCAGTTCATTTAACCTCATGCATATACATGTACAATTCACTCAACTGGTACATGTACAAGTATTTGTTTTCTCCATTCTCCCGGATGTATACTTTGGTAGACACTTACAGAGGAGTGGGGCCAGTTGAGGTAAAGAAGCTTGCCTAAGGACACAGACTAAAGCCATCAGCTGGATTTGCACCCCTGACCTTCAGATCATCAGTCAAACAAGAACAGGCTACTGGTACAATCCTTGCAAAAACTGGTCGTCTTAGCAGGGGGTCCATTGTTTTTCAGCCCTTGGGGAGGGTAATGTTGGTACCGGTAGAAACTGCTCAGCCAATCAAATAAAAGGCCTCTCAGGCTTCACAACTAAGGCTCCCGATTGTCAACAGTCCCTTTCTCAGTCTCACCCTCCTCTGAGTGACATGCTAATCTAGATAGATGGTCCAACCCAGCTCAGATTTCTTCCTACAGAATACCCATTATGCTGACATGTGCAAGGGACCAACCAATTAAGGTAAAGAGGCCACCAGGAGTCAAGTTTGATTTGGTGTTTATGCCCCAAGTTTACAAACAAAAACTCAAGAGGTTTGTAAACAACAAAAGACACAAAATAACTCCAAGGGTAACTGATTCAAAAGGACAGGAAAAAATTTCTTCTCTCTGGGCAATAACATCCCAACCATTGCTAGAAGAATAGGCCTAGAAACTGTTACAGGACTGGTTCTGTTAACTACCTCTGCAAAGACTGTCATCATTGGATGAAAAATAGGTCACAAACAGAGAAAATGAAGTCACACAACAAAGCTCATGAAAGTTATGGACCTGTGCCTGTACATTTACACTTCGCCAATTAAATTACAAAAAAAGACAAAACAGAATGCATCCACTGGTTTAAGTTTTATGCACGAAATGTTAGGTAAATGTACCGCTATTTTGATCTCCAGGGATCTGGATTATCATCCAATCTACAAGACAGTTTTTAGTTCAGGGCTCATGTCAATTCAAACTCACTGCAAATGGAACTAGAATGAGGATAAGAACAGAGGAAGGAAAACAGTCACATGGCGGAACCTTTGGTGCATGTCACCAAAGTTCAGTTACTGCCAAATCATAAAATCATAAAAAAACGCAAACTGAAAAGATTCCCCGTACCCTGTTCAATGCTGGTGCCTGCACTGCTGCAAGATAGTCAGTAATGCAACACTCATAGAGCAGATCTACATAACACTTTACTTGAGTTCCAAGACCAAACCTTATGCCCTCCTTGCACAAGTGACAACCTTGCACAAGTCCTGTCTGGCACCTGTGTGCAATCAGTGCCTGCCAATCCCAGCCTCTGGATTAGCAACTCACCAGCACTGCATAAGATATGAGACACCTGTTGCTCTGGTCCAACACAAGTTTACATTCATGTTCTCATCTCCTTGAAGGAGTTAATGGAATGCCTGCCCTGTACACACCCACTGATCAAAAGAAAACTTCACTTCCATGTTCCCTCAGGGCATTCCAAGGCCATGTCGAAATTAAATGATGTGAGGCATAAATCATTCAACAAAAGTAACTTCATGGGAAAATGAACTCTCTTGTTCTCTTTTGTTGTATTCTGCAAATTATTTTGGTACAGGTACATGTACAGGTAGGTTGAGATTCAAACCTGATATTTCCAGACTGATAACCCAGGCATCTCTTTTGCTCAGTTCAAACTTCAAAATGCAAATTTCTCCCTTTCGCATTACAATCAAGCTGAGAACTGGCGCCCAGCTCAAGCTAACTGAGAATGGCACATATGTGTACACATGGTACCAGACAAGTCTGGGCAGTGTACTAAAAAGGAAAGTGCTAATATCATTGGTGTCCCTTTCAACAGATAACTCAAGCGTCCAGCATACATTGTAGGTATTGTTCCTAATCTCCACAAATACAACTGTCACTGAACTACCCATGTAAGAGTTGTCAAGACTGCCCTTAATGATGAATTCCAGTTAGCTCTAAACAATAATATTTACAGAGCCTTGCATCCAGGTCGAGTAAACGGACAAGGTTGGAGATGTCATCAATCTTTTTGCATGTCCAGAGCTATATTGCTGAGCTGCGGAAAGCTGAATTTATGGTCTCCCCTCAAAAACAATGTTTGAGAAAGGAGGCATTATGGTTCATAGATTTGTAACTTATAGAACTCTTCAGGCCACATGCTCACAAAAAAAAACTGCCAAGACAGTGCCTATTGGCAGGATGTTGCAAAATTAGAAAATGATTACAAGTAATTGGACATCAACCTGTGGAAAGCTGATGTGACAGTTGAGGAGACTGGATCTAGTGTCAGCCATTGACAGTGATTTTTGTTCAGGGATTGAAATTTGAAAATTTCATTCCCCGAACAAAAATGACTATCTTCCTTTCCTGGTAAACAAAACATGCACAAGCTCACCTGTGCAAGTTTCCAAACTCGTCCAAAATACTGTATAATTTTATTCCATTCATGACAAATTTTTCGCTGCAGAAAAATGCTGCCGGTACCTCCAACTGAGCTCCTATTGGTCGTCCATCTGTGATTCCGATGAAGGGGGTCGTGCCCTATATCCTCACTTCCTGAACCAAATCCCTTACCTAGCCAAAAAAAAATTCCTCAACCAACCAGCACACTGGTGTGTCTCCAGTCATCTTTTTTTTTTTCTTCCAATCCCTACGGTGGGAAATCAATTCAATGTGCCCTCGGATTCCATCCTTAACAGGAAAACCACTTACTGTGGTAATACATGAAGTGCTACTGCAAGGTTTCAGATCCGCATTTGCCTGCAACTGGGAATGATGCCGAAATCTTGTTTTTCCCAGATTTCCTCATTTCCTTGACAAGGATTAATTACAATGGAGGCTTTTTTTTTCCTTTTTCTTCCTTTATTTCACCCAAAGGAGATTCCGGAGAAGCAAATGATGCACGGGAATCTTTTCAGTCTCAAGATAAGCAAATTTATTGGAAAAATATGGAGGAATAATCCACAAGGAACCGTTTTTTCCCTGAAGTTTACCATATTCCCTAATGCCAAGAGTTTCCACTGATGGTGACCAGCAAGAAACAATCCTTGGTGTAATTCTGGCAGACCTGTCCATTAAACAAAGCACTAGGAAATAAAAACCACAGCATTTACATAGCAGTCTTACAACAGCTAGTCCACCTAAGCTAATCTCAGACAAATGACAGTTAGGATCAAAATCACAACCAAACTTTTCAGACATACACTGTACACTCGGCTCTCGGTCATATTTGAAACACAGCATTTTAGAAATCGCTTTACATTTTCTAATTTTTTTTTTCAATTTTCAAAAAATTTTGAACTGAACTCAGAAATTTCGGGACAACCTTCACAGACAACATGTGGACCCTCAAGAAAGGGGTTACAACGAGTACAAAGAATTGGACAGTCTGAAAATATAGGCTATGGCTAGATATAACACATACGCCTATAGAGGTCACAGCCAAGCAGCTACAGCCATTTCTTATAGACACGTACTACAGTAAGCCACAGCCAAATCTTTCAAACATAGCCCAAGACATGTATGTTTTAGGATGAGAGTAGACTGAGAGGTATATGTACAGAAGACTGAAGCTTGCAGCATCAACCATACCAGACCACTCTGCCCAGGCTTGTAATGTCAATGTACCTTTTCTCTATCATCAGCCACATCACAGACCAGGTCATCTATATCCAGTATGGCCTCCTCCCCTTCGCTCTTCAAGCTTCGTATCCGGACCCAGTATTCGTCAGTCTGAATATGTAAAAACAGCAAAGAAAGGCATGTCATTGAAATGTGTTTAGCTCACCCAACTCCAGCAAATGCTGAAAAAAATGGTACACAACTCAATTCTGATTTTGTCAGCTGTACAGCAATATTCCAAAATGAACGATCCAAAGATAAATTTGCTTTATAACGTGAAGCATCAAGATAGCTCAAAAAAAAAGAACATACATACATGTGCATGTACATGTACATGTACATGTGTGTATCAAGCACTGGTGTTACAGTGCTTCCACGTTAGGGTTGGACAAAGTCAATAAATTTCATGCACATGTAGACATGTAGCCAGCAACTACATCGATGCAACAGAGCATCTCTACCAGTACAGAGCACAATTTTAGAACAACTCGTCAAAACACATCCAGCAGGTTCAAGGAGAGATTGATCATCCACCCCTGATGGGTTTCTGAGTCCAGATTTAGGCTTATCCTGGTAGTCCAACCTCTTGACAACCTCTTCCATTCTCATCTCAGCTACTGTCGTCACCTCACACACCAACATGCTCATTTATCAACCCATCCAGATTCTCTCATCCATCTTTTTGTTTTTCTGGAGATCCATACAGAGGGTGGGCCATTTACCAGTCCACACTAAAAGGTGTAATGTAATTTATTGAAGGTCAGGATAACACAAGGAGTGAAATATGGACCATTACTAGTTAGAATTCCTGGTGCACACCCCAGGTATATTTTTAGGCCAACCTGTACAACCTGCCCAATTAGCATACACCTGCATACCCAATTGCTGTTAATAGAGCTCTGGTTACCATCATTTAGCCAACCAGTAGTAATTTCCTGGTACTCCTGCCCCATACTCTTAACAGAAAGTGCCTGAGGCTGCATGTGAATCTGTTGTCTAAACCTACATGTAGGTCTGGGTCTTTGCTCAATTGGAAATGTGCTGAGATGTGTAGACAATAGAGTAGACCTATATGTAGCCATAGGTCTGGAAGCCCATTTCGGACATGGCCAACCTTTCTGTTTCCAGGCTTGTTTTGTTTACACCACACTAATGAATGCTGTCCACAAGCCAGTGGAGCTGTGACTACAGATACATGTATGCCCACCCATCAAACAGCCTTGAAGCAAGGCTAATGGCAAATAAATCAACTCAAAGTGTGAATTAAAGAAAAAACTTGGCCCTGAATACTTCAAACACACTTGCACCCTGGAATTAATGTATACACACCCAGGCCATTACCGCTCTGAGGAGGGCAAGGCAATTTCTTTCATTAGAAGAGTTATACCAACATTGCAGGAACACAAATTGGTTCCTGTAAGTTTTCTAGTCCCGGCAACACTCATGTTTCAATACATGTACATGCAGCGGAGACAGGCAAGAAGGCCAGTCACATACATGTACATAATTCTGCTCCCAGCATACTAGCAAGGACACCCTGTAAAGGTAGAACTCAAACCCTCACTGCATTTAAGCATAGTCGGTTCAAGCATGGAGGTATATGTAGTTTCTACCTCCTTGGTTCAAGCAAGCCTGTTACACCATACATTGCTATGGAAAATGCAGTCTCAAGGAAACAATTACCTCTGAGAGTACTGGTGGACCCCTGTGGACCCCTGCCTAGAGCGAGGTGTCCCACAGATAAACAAACAGAGAAGTTGGCAGCCGCAGCCTGCACTGCACACAAGGGCCCACCCTGGTATCTTGATGATTTCCAGACATGCTCAGTCACTAGAAATATGACCAGCGAAATCAAACACCCGCAGACATGATGTCATCCAGTGGCAAGGAAAGTAACACTGACAGCAATTATGCACCACTGAAAATCATAGCAATGTATTTGTGGCCTGGGTCATTTGAAGGTGGAAAACTTCTTTATGAAACTGGCAAAACATGGGGAAAATTGTGGCTTTAGGAAAAAAACTACACCATTATCAAAATGGTACAGCTGAAGAGAGCTTAACAACTTAACATAAAAATGCTGAACATTTTTATCACAAAGGATGAAAACTGAAAAATACGAAAAAGTCCTAAACGAATCTCAACATTAGTCACAAAAGAATAAGAAAAGACTATGCCAAAGTACATTGCCAAAACAGACACCTTAACAGGTATGTTCTTTGATGACTTCTCTACCGTACAAAATAAAGGATCCTACAACATTTCCAATATTCCTTCTGTTCACCCTAATCCTAGCTATTTTATTTTAGAGTTGTGTTCCAGTTTGGATGTATACTCGTCCATGTACATGTAGATATACATAGAATTTTCCATAATGACAAATTTCCTCCTTACATCCAATAAATTACCATGACATCATATCTAATTTGGGATGACTTTTCTCCATGAAAATTTGGACAAACCACAGCCAATTTATTTTTGACACTGTGTTTCGTGGTTTGTTTTGTGGCTCACTCCAAAAACTTTCTGCTCTTCCATCCAACTTCACAAAAGGGAACACCTCAAAATAATAAAAGCGATGACATACAAGGGAAACTGCGGTATCTTGAAGAGAATTCATTCAGTCTGAATCAGGGGATTGGAAGAGTTTTTATTACCAGTTTCAGTTTCACTGTTACCAGCTACCAATGTTTATTCCCCTCCTACCACACTGCTGGCAATCTGACCACAGTAACATGTTTCTCTTGGAATATTTCTGAATTTTACATCAATGAAAACATTTAAAAGCTTTGACAATGAATGCAATATTTTAACTCAAACTGTTATTTTCAACAAAAGTTGTGCTGTGATTTTGAAAAGCTGTTCTCCATACATTACATAACAACATTCAATATGGGCGATTCACAATAGTGCGCCACCAAGAGTTTGCAATACGGCCAATCCTAACGAAATTTGTTGACTCTTTCATTGGGTCGACATATTTCGCACACTGTGATTGGCCAAAGCATTGCAGACTCTTGGTGGCGCACTACTGTGACAGTAGTTCAACATCGTCTTATGAGAGGAATAATTGTTTATATTAACTCATGAACTCTCTGAGAAAATTTTTGTTGCCATTTGAGATGGAATGCAAGGTCAGCTGATTCAAACAGGACAAAAAGACAACGGCATGTAGGAACGTGATAAAAAATTACTCCCATTTCAACAGCGACAAAATGGCAAGGTGATAAGAACAACAGATCACTTGAAGGCATCTGAAGATTGTTCAAATGTCAGACGAGTTCAGCTACATTTTCAGGACAGCCACTCCTCGTAAAATACCCCATGAATGTTATCTACTACAGCATACAATGAACTTCATGCATAACACCTGTTACATGTACATTACCTGTATGAGTAAATCAATACCTCAAAATCACAACCAATGAACTTTTGCTGTCACCATATGTGTACTTAAGTTTCTATCGTCGCTGTGACATTTTGCACTTATATCTTTTAGATATACAGGTACATGTATGTTCCATTAACCCTTTCTTCTGCGAAATGTCTCAGTGTGAACGGAATTTTCCTTTTATTCTCTTATCTCCATAAACTCTATCAGTATATTGACAAATTAAGCAGAAACAGAGCAAATCTAAATCAAATGCAACCAACCTTCTGCTTTTATTCATTATGAGAATCATAGAACACAAGACAGGTGATAAATGACACCAACCATCTGACCGTTCCAAAGCATGAAAGCGTACTAGTTGCTACTGGCTAAAGCCGTGTTCGCGCTTGGTTTCTGTAGATTTTACTGAGCCAATGGTCAAATAAAAATGGTCAAATGTGACCCCTGTCCGAACTTGGACTTTCGACACAGGAAAATTTTACCGAGACCGCGAGTGAAGTAACTGAGCTGGCAATGCAAGTTGACTTATGAGGGCGCTTTGCGTGACCCTTCCACATTTATTTTTGTCCTTAGACACAATGTTACCATCCTCATCATCATCTGGAAATGGTGCACTCTTAACACCAGTTAATCTTCCAACAGTGTCAATAAAAATTTCTGCCATGATTGCGACCAAAAGACAAAAGGTTTACTGGAAATATTTGCCAAATGCCATACCATGAGGAAACGTGCAATACACATGCACAGTTTCCCTGCATGCAGCATGCCGTTGTTCTCAACCCAGATGGACCGTACATGTATGCTCTCCAAGCCACTTTCCTATGCTTTTACAGACTCACGCTGTCCGCACTGGACTTAGTCTTTCCATCTCATGAAAAGTGTCTCGGTAATTTTTCCTGGGCAGAAGTTGGCCGGTAGAAATGACCGCACAGCTCAGTAAAAGTAACCGAGAGGAAAACGTCCTAGGATGTCCGCACTAAACTTAAAATAGGAAAAGTAACCATTTTCTCGGTAAACTTTAACCGAAAAAAAGTCCAGTGGGAACACAGCTTATTAGGGAAAGCTTGATAGTGATACAGCAACAGTGCAGGTAGTCCTGGGCACAGCACCAAGGCTATCGAATCAATATTCATTTGAAGCAAGCTATGGGACCAAGGGACCACCCCCCTCTCCTTTGTGTTGGTCACTGTTTTACCAGAATCTCCGGAATCCTTATAGACATCTAGGGGAGATGTGTTAGGTATGCATGTACATGTAGTTACAGTCTAGAGTGTGTATAGGGTTTGGACATATGGGGGGTACCCTTCCATCCCATCTTGCAGGGTATAGGAATCATAGCTTTCAAACTGACCCAAACCTGCCACAATCAAACACCACCTTCTGTTGAATCTTCTTTTATCGAGGACTACAGAGCCTTGGCACCATTATTTTGCACACTGACTCGACGCCCTGAATCTACAATAAAGTGTAAGTGTCATCAGTTGAACACACAGTGTTGAATTGTGTCTGATATGGCAAAGTTCCTGGCCAAAACAGGTAGAGGATTAGCATTTCAAACAGCCTTCAGGATACTTGATATTTCTTCTAATCAAATGCAATGGCAGCACCAGGCTCCTTGCTCCCCAGCTGATAAAAACTAGGAGGCAGAACCTCATCAAATCTCTACCCAAGGGCAGGGGACGCTTCAGTTGAGCAACTCAGGAATAATATAACATCCTTG